TGAACACGTTTATATAATGAGCAAAAAATACCTTAGCTATCAACCTCTTTACTCTTTCTCAACATTTTTCCACACAGCTCAAATTCAGTGCACTAGAAAGGATGCAAGTGAACGTGATTCTTGCAGTTTCTGCTTCATTCTCACCCATTCCGAGCGATGTTAGTGTTAAAATATTGAAACCTTAGGCTGTGTATCTCGTGCAGTGGAGAGTATTTAATAGGAAGTTATACATTGGATGAGTCGTGTAAGGAAATCACGCTCTCAATGGGACTCAAATTTCAATTTATCGGATAGATGGATTTTCTTTCATGCCCTGGGAAAAAATATCTAGAGAAATTGTCACAGCACAGAGAAGTAGACATGAAGACAATTTCTAGAGAGACGTGTAAGTCGAAGAAATCTCCTCAAGAGAGTGAAGTGAAAGTAATTCAACTTGTGGGAACTCTTATAAACACTTTATGGACTCTGTAACTGGTAAATATGAAACTTGGGAATGAAATTGCTCTACGTTTGCACAGGAGACCCGAGGATGTTGTTCACGTAGCCTTGCTGGATACCCAACAGTGCACAGGGTTATGCCGAGGACGGGATTTCGCTCCGAGACAATATGTGAGTACACACAGAGAAAGTTCCAGCTATGGTTAACAGCGTGTGTTGATATTACACATGCTTCCAAATCTGGACAGTTGTCAGACATGTAAGGAAATTCCCCAGAGACTTCGGTGAATATTGCAGAATATTCAGATTTCCAGTAAAAATGATTACCAGCGAAACTCTATCGCACTCTATTTATCCCTCAACTGTCTCGAGTGCATGTCTTATCCTCCCAAACGTATAGGATTCAGCCATTAGTGTCAGGTTGGGAGCATTTCACCAGAGGGTGGTTTTATATGTATTTTAACGAAGTTTTCCCTCCTTCGAGTGCACACTATGGCTTGTTCCTCACCTTCTAGCGTGTGCTGTAATGACTGTGCTTGGGGTAATGTTGCACTTAATGAAGTTTATGAAATTCTTCGAAACAGTTTCGTATGTGGATCACGAGTTATCACTTGAGCTTCTGGCCATTTTCACGGTGCCACTTCTAATTAAAGACCCGCACACACACACACACACACACACAACTACACACATTATTGGGAGAATTTTCATTGCACCCAAGGAAATTTGCCACCCTCTCTGTCTACATGGAATTATATTTACACAGCCAAATTGAACTATTAACCACCTGCAGGGTTCTTGCATGAGTCTCTGCAGATTCTCCTTCTCGGGGAACAAGAGGGGATCAATATGCGAGGTTGTAAGTGAATTTCATGTTGGAAAAGATTTTTTTATTGCCTCGTAATTAAGTTGAAATCAACGATTAAGAGTGAGAGTGGGCAAAAGGATGCCCGAGCTATATATGTAGGTAATTTAATCAAGAGTGAAGGAAAAACATAGACACAAGTAAATTGGCAATTTTCTAGACTTTCCATCGCGCACCCCACTCAATTCTTTCATGCGCTTTTTTCAGTTCATTCCAAATTAGACATTTTGCCTTACCTCGCTCTGAGCTGCTCTTCATTATCATCCCCTCTGAGGAGACATCAAATTGGTATTTGCTTTATAAAATCTCACATTTATAATGTGTTTTTTTTCCTCTCTGTGTCCTATAACCTCTTATCTGGACTTTTCCTTTCTGGTCCTTCTCCCAACCCGCTGTCCAAGTATTTGGCCGGAGTTTTCGGGTGAAATTGCTGCGCATTTCATGGGGATAAAGTGAGAGTCGACTTTTTACGCAGCCCCAGGAGCAATTTGTCTAGGGAAGGGACACCGAGGTTTCCAGAGTGAGGCAAAAGGCTGGGTGTTTGCCGTAAAGTCAGAGAGTGAGACGAGTTCCAACAGCAATAACCATTTATTTGATTGTTTTTGGTGCAGGTCGGAAGGGTGGAGAAGGAATGGAAAGGATTAATTAAGGTGAGCTCTGGTCCCAAGTGTACCTCCTCGGGATTTACTTGGAAACTTGTGCAGCCATTCTTGTCACCCGCGCGTGTCCCAAATTGATTATTTGCCACGCCAGTTTGAATCGTGACGAAAAGCTTTGGGGATTTACTGTGTCAACAAATGATTAATCACACTTAAAATGCCAATATCATTTATCACTTGGCGAAAGAAGCTTCCGTGGCTGCAGCGCAACGTCTTCACTCGCGTGCTGTCGAGACTACTGCATTCGCTCACAGATGCCCAGAATGGAAATGTCAGATGTGGAAATGAATATTCAATTTTGTGGTGGTGATTTGAAATACGCAAACAATTTGCCACTCGAGAATTTACCAACGCGATATGGAATTGCCATTTGAGCAATTTCACTTTCAGCAATCCATAAATATCGGGGTTTGAGGAGTAGAGTTGAGAGAGATCTGTTTATAGATAGCATAATAGAAATATTGAAATTACATGGTGTGATAGAAGTGATATTTTATACATAATGCTTAATAGCATTTTGATATTCAATTGCATTTTGGTTTTATGCATGTCTAACCCTCGTACACTTCCGTCTCAACTCTGTCTGGTACATTTCCAGAAGTGCTGACGCTGGCAATATTCATGTTTATTTATTAGCCAATTGATTGCTCTCTACCGAGAGATGTGCGATAAGCCATAGAGTTGGTGGAGGTGAGAAAGAAAAAGCGACGATATGTGAAACGCATATCATTACACTTGAGAGCAATTTTGTCCTCCCACTCCATAATGTCTGAAGAGTTCTTCTTGTGCTGAAAATTACCCTCAGACAGTTGGTGCAATTTTCTTCTCAAAACACTGACTTGGGTGAGCGAAAAAACTCACGTCTGGAATTTTATTTGTTTCACTCATAGAACCGCAGCGGAATTTCAATTTTCTATACCCATTCTTGTGGGGAGGCGAAGCATCCACACTTGGGGCACTCGTCAGTGAGAAAATCAAACAGACAGAGTGTCTTCCAATTCGTGCACCAAGAGCTATAATTTTCTCAATTGTATCCCAATGATTTTATTCCCCTGGCCAGATCACCCACGTTGCCCCGGCCCCACTGACGTCCCGTCCCTGCCGGGGACATTCCGCACACCTCTTGCAATCCGTCAGACTTCAGGGGGGGGGGGGGGGGTGGAAATTAAATTTCAAATTACCCCTTGCCTTTAATTGCATTTAATCACGGTGCTTCGAATCAGTGTTCTTGCTTGTTTTGCCAAATGCCATAATAAAGGCAATTATGCTCGGTTTCGACTGTCAAAGCGACGAGAGAATGCTTATGTGGAGATCCTCTCAAGTATTTAGTCACGTACATAGGAAATGTGTGTGTAAAGTAAAATGCAGACCCAAATCAACTTCCCCACTGGAGCTTCAGCTAAATTAGAGCGAGAGCAAAAAATCCCTCATGTGAATACCAAGTGAGTAATGGCAATTGTAGCGAGCAAACCATATCAGATTTAGTATCTCGCCCAGCGATATCAATCTAATACGGAACACACGCTGCATTTGAATTTTCCTCCAGGGACCCACAATGTTGCGGAAAGTGTGGATTTAAAGCCAGCGCGGAATTCTCTATTTCACGAACGTCAACTGTGTGGCATCGGCTTGGGCAACGGGGAGGAAGTTAAATTGATTTCATCTACTAATTACAGGTGAGTAAGTGAATAGTCTAATCATGTCATTTCGAGAAATGCAGGAAACTTTTCACCATGAACTCTTGGATTGAGTTAATTGGAAACTGTGCAATTCATCATTGGAGATGTCAGATCTGTAATTGATTGCATTTGACAGATTAAATGACAATAAAATTGACAAAGAGCTGTTATTTCAAATTGCAATTCATTCAATAGAATCGTTAATGTAATTCTTGACTCTACCATTCTCTATCCTCTGTTCGTGTGATAGGTATTTATGAGTTGTTTCGATGCAATTCGCATTTCTTGCGAGCGCATCGCGGCAAAGACCACCTCCTAGAGAAACTCCTCGATAACCAATAAAGTTCAATTTAATCGCCCCAGAAGCTCCCGATAATTAATTTATTGCACCGCTGCAATTGAGGCGATCTCTATCAGGTGTTTCATCCGCTAGAAGTCCGTTGCGTTGCGCGAGGCACGCATCGCAGTCCTATCCACCTTCATAATTGCTCCCCCATTCCAGTGCTTCCATCACCTCCTGTCTTTAATTCACTCGAGCACACCTTCCGCGCCGAAGGTACAACTTTGTAATTAATTTTAATTGATAAAATTTTCATGTATCGCAAACAAGTTTTCTCCACTATCTTCACTGCTAATCTATGAAAAGTTGCCGGTGAGGTGGGAAAATGCTCCCCGGCGTGTCTCAAAGAGGAAACATGTGGCGTTCAATTTGAGTAATGGACTGCCTTTGTTGTGTGGATTTTGAAATTATTAGTACAACTAAAATTTAGCATGTGAGAGGAATGTAAAACATTCACCATAAGTCTCCAGGGCAATTCTGCCTTAGGACCTAATCATAGAGATGGATAGTATTTTTGTCATGCTCTCTTCCTCATATTCGAGCCATAACTTTATGCTTAGTTATAAGTTATAATAATCTCGCAATCCTTAAATTCACTGTTTTGCATCAACTTTATATATGGCTGTAATCGCAGTAATAGAGACATAAGAAGTGCTCAAAGGTACTTTTCCATCATCATCAACAGTGATATCGGATTTATAGAGATGATTTGATGCCATCAAAGACTGAAAAGAAGCGTTCTTATGTGGTTGTTGGCTCTCTACCGTTCGCCATCTGTTCGGCAAGTGGCCAAATTCAAAATATTTCCACTTGCGACTCTTCGGAGGCCACATGGAAGGAAGACTTCGTGCCTTTGCGCAATCCGGAGAGCGAGAGAGACTGCCGAGGCATCGTCGACGAGGGGACGAGGTGAGCATAACACATGGACGGAGCATAAGAGGAGAATCCACCAACACTGGGGTCTTCCACCACTCGCTCATCGCCAGGCGAGTCAGTACTCAGTTGAGTTCAGCCATCGATACGTGGACCGTGAGTGAATTAACGCTCCACTTCCGCCTGGGATTGCAGTGATTTAATCAGGAAGTGTGTAATTTGGTGAATCCCCGCGACTCTCTTTCGCTCATTGTCCGGCCCGCGGCTGGAGTGGCGCGATGTGGTGTGAATTTGTGGGCTGGTGTGAGAGATGCTGAAGGTGATGTCGGGTTACAATTGATTGAATAATGAAGAAGACACCACAAAAGACTCCCGAGGGGAGCACGGCATCGTGCACGGTGAACCTGGTGCTATTTGTGCTCTGTATCTCGTCCGTGGGCACTTCCTTCTATGCCAACTTCCGCCAGTCCATCCTCGAGGATCGCGTGCGGTACATCAACCAGCTGGATGACCGCCTCAGCGTGGTGGAGGCCAAGCTGCAGACCATGCAGCCATCAGCGGCCTTCGTAGAGCCACCCTTCGGGGACGTGGCCAGTGTGGTGAGGAAGCTGTCGCTGGAGGTGGCCGGAATCCAGAGACTGAGACGTGATGTGTCACACTTGAAAGTAACGCGTCAACAGCGTCAAACCGCAATTCAGCAAACGCCAGATTGTGTCTGCCCTCCGGGTCCGCCAGGTAAAAGAAACACTCACTATACACATTCAATTTCCTCCCAACTGAAGGGGGTGGAAAATCATTTCAAAAGCCACTCGGCCCTAACATTGTCAAATGGCATGGCGAGAGAATGGAAAACGAGTGAGAAAACTCAATTCAGAGTTAAGAGGGTGCGAAAGGAAGTCTAGTGACGAGGAGAGAGAGAGTGCGAGTGAGACTCTGGGAAAACCACAGAAGGAAAAAAGGAGTGAAAAATTGTCAGACGCGAGACACGTGCTTTAGATGGAAATTTACATTTCCGCTTTGGAGACGGGACCACATTGCACACATTGTGGGGAGAAAAGTACAATAAATCCTTGGAAGTTCTGAATAAGGCCAAACGCCTTCCCACTCGACTGAGTCGCTGGACTTTCGTTGGGCAGAGCACACAGACCCTTTGCCACTCACCGGATGCCTTCAATTAGCAACCAATCAAACGATCAAAAGCCACAATACTTGACCTCAAGTACTGTCGTGGGATATTTGCCGTGAGCTCTTGAATTTTCAAGCGGCCACTTGAATTGAAAAATATGTTAAACTGCGGTTCTCGGGTGATATGCCAAGCCCCAGTGCACTCCTAAGAGGAGACTTCAAAAGTTGGTCAGAGACTCTGGAAATTTTGATTTTCACACGATGTGACAATGCAATTCCTGCTCTAAACTGCCTAGATTCAATTTAGATATCTAAATCAGTCAGTAAATGCGTTTTATATCTGATTTTGCATTACATTTGCTAAAAATGGTACATGACACAATGTGTATGTGTATCTTTAACCAGGTTAAGCAACTTTATTTAGTTCTGCTCGCTTAACTCGACATTTTCAGAGTTTTGTGGTAAACTATTACGTGCAGACATTCACAAATGTCACAGACCATCGCTTTTCCTGCAACACTTCATATTTTTCGAAGGATATAAAATTTTCCCAACTCACTCTGAAAAACTTTTGAGAAAAACGAACTCCTGCTGAACGTGGAAGAAAATAGAGGAAAAAAAATTCCGCAATAACATAGAGAGCAGAGAAATTTGATGTACAACTGCAGTGATAAAAAACATTTCTCTTGGGCAAAATTACCCTTTAGATATGCATTAAATGGAATGGGCGGGGGCACATAAAACTATGCGCACTCACAAGCCAAATATGACTTTAAAACCAACAATAGCGGGTCATTAATGCTGAAGAGAACTTTTATGAGATGAATTCTCAATGCAGCGACGGAGGTTGTAAAAAATGCAATGTGAGATAGAGTATCATGACGTGTCACAGCTTTAATGCCTTTTTGATGGATATTCATCTGTCGGTGGGCCCAGAGGCGTGAAAAATAGGCGAAGAAGATGCGCCCCGGCGAAATGATGGAGAGCCGGGAAGAGTGGGATAAATTAGAATATCTGATGCCGTTCTCGGCAAATTCGACCAGACACATGAATTGTGTGGCATTCGCGTGGTAATGAAAAATCGTATTGAGACGGAATTTATTGTGCACTCCCCGTCAATAAATCAAAAAATACTCTGGAGGCACTCAAAAGAGTTCGAATTATTCATTTGCCATTGCCTCAATGGGTTGGGCGCATTTCACATTTCTTCCCTCATTGAATGCAACTTGAATGGCTGGAAACTAAATAAATATTATTTATTGGGTCATTTCACACAATAAAAGACACTTCGTATGAAATACTGGACTGCCGTCCAAATGCCAACCCCATTGTTGCCATCGATATTTTAAGTACTGTGTGGGTGTCTCATTGTTGTTTTATGCCTCCTCCAAGAGAGCCCTTAATAGTCCATAGAAGTCTTTCATGCCCCATTGAAATGCCTCCAATTTCAGTAGTTGCTTCAGTTTCAAAAAAGAAATACCCGAGACGGAGTCACGCGTTACATTGCGGCGGCACTGTTAGCCTCAATATCTGCATAAAAGTAATTATAAAAGCAAGAATAGCAATTTGTCAAAACAATGCTCACATTAAGAGCGTTGTATAAATAAGCGAATGAGGATGAAATGAATCCCATAACTCACATACGGAGCACACGGAGCAAATTACACCATCAAAATTTTAATTATACTTTGCTAAAATCCACACATACACATATATAGACGCCCCAATTGCTGAGAAGCATGAGCGGTGTTAAAATTTCATGTTAGTCGCCGCTCTGATGTATGATACAGAGAATATTTAGTGCACCATATTGCGGAAAATTCATTGTTTGCCACTCATTTCTTTTTTCACCTCCTTTCGCTCATAAATGACTCGTACAGCGAATTCACTGCACACGGAAATTGCATATGATTCACCCTTCGAATGCATGTATGTCAGTATTTTACTTCCTTCAAGTGTTCCTCCTCCAGAGCCTTTATACGTTCGTCAATACAGCTCAATGAAAGTCTAGGTAACAGTCTCTCTAGATAAAGAGAAGAAAGCTCTATCGAAAGTTCAACCTGTTGGAAGTTCTAGTATATTTTGATCAAACAGAAAATACCCAGAGAAATACTTCTTCAAAACTCCAGAATAGACTTTTTTCCCCTCAATAAATAATCCAATTCCCTCCTATTGAAGCACTCTTGCGTGTGTCTGGTCAGAGTCAATCACAGTCTGGTTCCCGGAATCATGCATTCGACTGCCTTGATAAATGAATGATGCATTTTCACAAAGATACTGGCAGAAAAGGTCAAAGAAAATGGCTTCAAGAGGAAAAAAAAACTATGGATAAGAGGCTATTCAGCACTCAATACTTTATAAGGTTGAATTGAAAAATTGCAAAAGGACTTTAGAATGAGAAAAACTCGGTTTTACTCGTTTACTTTTCATGACTTGCACTCACATGCAGGAAACATAATCACTGAAGCTGAGCAAAATCCTGTCAGATGTTAAGTCCTGGTGCAAATTGTATAACGCATGCTGGTCCTAAAGTGCCTATTGATCAGCCTCTCTCCGCCGTAAAAAGCCATCAGAGAGACACGCAATTACATTAATCTCAATCTCGGCCTATCGGAAAATTATAAGGGCCCTGAATGGGAGAAACCCAAATTGATGGAAGGGCCCTTAAGTGAGCAACGTTTGCGGGTAGATAAAAATTATATGAGCGTCTTTCATAACAAGAGGGTTGAGTCCCTTTTTTTGCCCGATTCCCTTGAAGACACATGGACAACTAATTCAACCGAATTATTGGAGAGATTATTTATCCTTCAGTCCGAGTCTCCCGCACCCCTCGTGCTCGCCCCCGATAAACACTCCCGGACAGTTTATTTACCATTTCATTAAGTGCCACAAACACGATGCTTGACAAAAATTGCTTTCACGACTGTTGCAAAAGCGAGATAGACGGCATGTGTGCGGCTGTTCCCCTAATGAACTGGAAAGTGGATTGAGTTTCAGGTTTGTCAACGCAACCCCACTCCTTTGGGCACCGTCATCACTGACTTACCCCTTTAGACAGGGGGCTTTATCTCAATGTGTGTGCTATTTGTTGGAGTGAAATCCACGAGAGGAGTTGAAAATGATTCATTTTGCCGCCGTGCGACAAAACCAACCCTTCGACAGACCGCAAGGGCGTGAGGAGATAGGGTGGCCGAAGGGCTGGGACTCCATTGCAAACAAAGGGTTGGAATTCTCGTTAAAATGATTTATCATTTTTAATACTCTCGATGGACTCGTCGTAACTCTCGCGCAACAATGCTTGGACTCGGGTCCCTTTTGAGCACCGATCCACCAATTTCCGCGCTCTCGATGCCTCAATCCATCAATAGGTAGACCCTGGATCCGGTAAAAGTCACGTCTTAATTTATCCGCCAGCCGATCAATAAATCACAACCACAAAAGTCCCTCCAACCGCCGAGGATTTCTGCTGCTTCTCGTCTCAAGAGGCGAAGAGATCGAACAAACTTTGTCACTTTTTCCAGCGTGTGTTTTTTATCTCACCCCCCCCGTCCTGCAGTCAAGCGGGGTGGATGTGAGACACACACAAAAAGAGCCCCAACAAATCCCCAGGTAACACTGCCAAGTGGGTGAGAAAATCACCGGAAAATGTCTATCACGGTAATACCTTCATTTTTCCTGTACTTCTCTCACGATACTTTAACGCTTCACACAGTTTTTAATCGGGAGCCTCACCCCGCACGGATAAAACTTTCCCTCATCAAATTTCGACGGGAGATCCCGATAAAAATGTTCAATTAAACTTTTATCCAGTTTAATTTCATCCCCATCATCAAACGGGAGTCTCTCAGGGATGTTGTTTTTTTTTCATTTGGCGCATCAGGGTCGAATCAGGGACGAGAGTGAGTGCAAGGAGAGAAAAGAAGTCAAATGGTTAGAAGCATCGAGAGCTAAATTACTCGAAAGAGTATGCAAAAAAGCCAGCGCTATCGCGTGGAATCTGTAAATCTCTCTCAATGCCATTGGAAGATGATGACATGTTGGCAGAAGAATGGATGAAAGTGGGGAGGAAAAAATATGCAAATTTTTGCATTATTCACCAGGAATACGACTTTGGCTATGAATATCATTAGGCGCCGTGCAATCCGCTAAAAGCTCCCTAAATGCATTGATATTTATTGAGATGCTCTTGCGAGAATGCACAGAAAAAAAACGAGAAAAACCATCAATCATCGACTCGTTGGAAATCTCTGGGTTACATTTGCGACTATATGCAAGATGTGGAATTGCAGTCGCTTCGGAACCTCGAAATAGCGCGAAACACACTGCCATTAGTCACACAATCAATTTTATATAATTCACCAATATATCCCTCGTGACGATGATGTTGTCACTCGGCATTAGTCGCTTATTTCGCTGCCCTGCCGCGATGCCAGTGAGATGGTGATGAATGGGGCAAAGTTGAAAAACTATTGCAGATAAAGGGCGCTTACCACCCACTCCTCCAGCTCACATTTTAGCCCCCCAATCGGCTTGACACCATATTTATTTCTCGCCAGAGTCTTTTCTTTTCCCTCCTTGCCAGTCACCCTGGCAGTGCTTATTTTTTGCTC